TGGTTTTATTAATGGTTCATAAATCACACAGAATGAAGTTTTTCAAAACTGTGTTGAATGAAAAAAAGTGTTGAATGTTGAATGTTTTCTGTGAGAGCAGTATACGTTATACACACTATATAATATACACCGTATGAGGGTATTTTACAGTTTTTTGCACTCAAAAAAACTTTCTGCTTGTTCAAACTGCTTATTTTAAATAGGCTGAAACAAAAAAAAACAATTCCTAAACTTTATGGCACAACATAATTGTTTTATGTTCGATCCTGTTAAAGATGTCAAAAACAATTGACTGATTTGAGACAACATAAATAACTTGTGTGTATTTTTTACACTGTACAGTATTATAAATGATTACATATATAGGAAGTCCAGTAATGAGGTCTGCGTGCTAGCAGTCATGATTCATACTCGTTAAATAATTATTTTATGTAGCTTTATTTTACATTCTTAGGTAATGCAAAACACAAACATTTCAGCACAATGCCTTCCTCAGTGTGTGTGAGCATGTATATAGGAGGTCCCTATAAAGATAGCTGTGTGTGATCCCTTGTGCACACTAAAAGCTATTCATCTCTGGCAAACGAGCAGGAAAGGTCTGTCTCTCTTTTTCTATATCAGACACACGATGTCATGATTAATGAGCACGGCTCTGTAATGAACACTTAAAGCTGTGCGACTTATTTAAGCATATGCTGAGACAGGTTCTGCCTGAGTGACAACAAACAAGATCGTTTGCCAGAAAGGGGCTAATGTAGGTCATTAATGTGAGACGGACAAACTTTCACTGCCAAAATCCTGACCTGTAAAGCCTATTAAAATTTGATTCATCCAAGAAGACCTTAGTATTTGTTACTTGACACACACACACACACACACACACACACAAACACACGCACACACACACACACACACACACACACACACACACACACACACACAAACACGCACACGCACACACACACACACACACACACACACACACACACACACACACACACACACACACACACACACACACACACACACACATACGCCAGGGTCATAACTTGTCTTTACTGCATACACTGTGAAAATTGCTGGTTTCCACACAATTCCTTTACTTGTCCCAACACAAATCTATTAAGTTACCTTCTGAACATAAAAAAATTAAGTTGTCCCCCCCAAAAATGTAAGAATTTTGTTGTTTCAACTCATTTTAATATGTAGTTTGAACAAGCAGCAAATGTCATTTTTGAGTGTACTAAAATAATAATAATAATAATAATAATAATAATACTCATATTAGTCAAACTATATATATATATATATATATATATATATATATATATATATATATATATATATATATATATATATATATATATACATATACATATGTGTGTGTGTATGTATGTATATATATATATATATATATATATTAGGGCTGTGCAATTAATCGAAAATCCGATTTCGATTTTGATTATGGCATCTAACGATTATAAAAAACCATTAATCGAGATAAACGATTATTCCATTATTTACCGCCCCCTGTCCAGTTGTCCTCACTTGTTGCTCTTAAAAGCGCGAAAGACCGCATGCTTATGTATGTGCGGCGTGCAGACAGTCAGTGCAGTCTGCACTTGGTCTTATTCGCACATTGTGAAGAGCAGAGAGCACACACATCTAAAGTCATTAACGCGAGCGCTTTAATGTTCAAATAGGTGTCAAAACGCGGTGTTTAGTGATAATTCATATTAACCCTCATTTTGTAATAAACAAACGAGTTGAGAATCAAAAGACACGTGAAAGCGAAACCATTAAAGTGACAGAGCACAGCTGCCGCCTGTTTTATCATGATTAATAAAACAACGAGAAAATCCCTCTTTGCTCTTGACTGAAGACTTTTGTAGCTAAAGTGTTTTTCTTACGGTGAAGATGCTAAAAGCACAGTTTGTTTCATATTTTTATTCTATTGTATTTATTTTTCTTTTCTTTGCAGGGAGGAAAATAATATATGCAGTTGAAGTCAGAATTATTAGCCCTTATGAATATTAGCAACCTTTTCCCCCCAATTTCTGTTTAATGGAAAGAAGATTTCTGAACATAATAGTTTTAATCATTTATTTCTAATAACCGATTAATTTTATCTTTGCTATGATGACAGCTCATTATATTTTAGTAGATATTTTCTTAAATACAAACATTCAAATTCAAAGTGTGATTCAAAAGCTTAATTAGGGTAATTAGGCAAGTCATAATATAACAGTAGTTTCTTCTGCAGACAATCAAAAGTATATATTGCCTAAAGGGGCTAATAATATTGACCTTAAAAGAGGTTTCAAAATATTTAAATTTGCTTTTATTCTAGCCAAAGCAAAACAAATAAGCCTTTCTCCAGAAGAAAAATATTAGAGGAAATACTGTTAAAATTCCTTGCACTGTTAAACATCATTTGGGAAATATTTATTTAAAAAAAAATCTCAGGAGTGCTAATAATTTTGACTTCAACTAATAATCGTTTGGAATAATCGTGATTACAATTATGACCAAAATAATCGTGATTACGATTTTTCCCAAAATCGAGCAGCCCTAATATATATGTATATATATAAATTCATAATTTAGTATTAAATACTTTTTTGTAATAGGTTTAATACTGTGGGTATCTGCGAGGTCTTAAAAAGTCTTAAAATGTCTTAAATTCACTGAAATGTGGTGTTAAATAATTTTAAACAGGTCTTAATTTTCTTTGGTCCATGTAAAGCTACTCAATCGGTACAACCAACAATCCATTCAAAAAAAAAAAAAAAACACATCAACAAAAGTAAAATGTATTAACCCTATTAACCAGTATGGTTTAATTTTATTCCTTACATCCTTACAATAACATTTGTTTAAAAGTTCTTTATGTATTTATGAATAACTGCACTGTAAAAAATAAAAAAGTTAACTCAACCTAAAATTTAAGGCAACAAATTTCAGGAGCTTTTTGAGTTGACTCAACATTCAACCCAATTACTGCACTTGACTCGATTTAAGTTGTGTAAACTCAAAAATGAGTAAACTCAAAAATGCTTTTAAATTTTAAGTTGTATCTACTTTTTTTACAGCGTGTATGTTGTACATAAATTAAATTTATTATAGTTTTTAAAACTTGTCTTTTTAAAGAAGTATTATGCTAATAAAAATATACAGTGATCAGCATATATAAGTATAGCCCTCATAAATCTCTCTTTTAAATTCATATTTTTAATAGGATGCTATACAATAATATATTTGCGCATATACATTAGGTTAGTCAGTACTGAAGTCAAATCTGGAGCTTATCTAACAAAATAACTTACGATAACGGACCAAAAGCTAGTACACCCAAATTTATATGTAAGAGAAAAATATTTAATACAAATTTAAAAAATAAATAATAATAATAATAGTTGTTGAAATTTTGTAGGTTGTAATTTATTTATTTATATATTTTTTTGCAATATTTTGCTTTGGTTTAATTGTATTATCTTTCTAATCCTAAATATGCTTGATGACTAAAATATTATTTTAATAAATATATCTTTATTAAATCTGTTTTGTTTAAAAGCACCAAAATACATTGTCCATATTCACTGAGAAATGGATACAAATATTAATTTTCAAAATGCTATGTACTCAATTATGCTGAGCACAGTATATAACTGAGTTTGTTTGTTTCGACTCATTATTTTAAATATGTGGCTAAGAAATAACAGAATTTTATGGGGCAAGTTATAAAAAATCCTTTGGCTATTATGAAAAATCCTTAGCGTTTTGCCATGTTAAAGCCTTGTATTTCATTTATAATAGTCTTAAAGACTTGAAAAGTCTTGAATGAATGAAACCTGCAGAAACCCTAAAATAGTTAATTATTAGTTTTGAGTAGTTAATTGATTCAGGATCATAAAAAAGCTTCTTTCCTGACAAATTGAAGATTTGGTTTTAAAATTATTTTAAATATAACGACACCTGCTTCGAATGTTATCACTCGAATCACTTGAATGGGCATTATCTGTGGTTATTAGCTGTTAGATATTAGGCATGGGCCAGTAAGAGTCTAACGGAATGATAACCTTGGATAAAAATATCAAAATATGTTTTGTGATTACTGCTAAATACTTTTTTAAATGTATGGGTAAAAAAAACTCAAACTTTTTTCCCCTTTTAACACAAAATATTTTAGTTTGAAAAACATTGCTGTCTTCATTTGTTTCAAAAACACAGATTTCTTTACAATTTAAAACAACATCTTTGGATATCTTTTCTGAGGGAGATACTGTTGTTCTAAAAAACTAAAAAAAAAAATGAAAAAAATTTGTAAATAAAACATCTTACTCATACCTTAGGAACGGTATTACAGAAAACTTTGTCGGTTTTAAAACCCTGACTTTTTTAAACTGCTCTATACCTTGAAAATGGTAAATGTCTCATGCCTATTAGATATGGGCCAGTAGAGGCCTTCTGCGCCCTCTAATAGGTTCAGAAGGCTGTTATGATCCATTCACATGGAATCTCTGGCTCATATCTATCAGCTGATAACCACTGATAATGCCCATTCAATCGAGTGATAACATTGGAATCGGCTGGACAGACTGGTCTTTTTTCTGTTTATTGCTTTGAATTATTCTGTGCCATTTGTAGTCTTTTTTCAATCTAATTGCATTCAACTTAGAATGCTAAATGTAAACATGTAAGTGGTTTTGTATGTTTGTGTGTGTGTGGTTCTTCAGAATTATAACAATATTCACAAACATCCACAATTACAAAAGCGCACACCACTTAACAGAGGCTTTATATTCATAAAAGCGCTTAAGCCCGTCTAATGCAGTTTCTGAAATGCACACATGTCAGATGTTTCCTGCCGCCGCATTAATGGACGTGTAAGTAAGTAAGTAAGGTAACAGGTGTGTGGCCTGTGCTCTGCTGATGCGGTTGTAATGTTTGTGCTTCTGTACTAATGCTGTTCTAACACTGGGCTGTGTCTCTTTCTCCAGTCTGCAGAATCTGTGTTCTCTCATCTTGTGTCTCTCTCTCTGCTGTGCAGGGGGCCCTGTGTGAGTGCGATTACACTGAGCTTCTGTGTGTGTGTGACTGTGTGAGGATTTAACTCAGACAGAGTGTGTGTGTTTTTGTCTGCTTTAACAGTATCTCTTTCCTTGCGGTGTGTATGTGTGAGTGTATGTGCTTTGGTGTGTGTATTTGCTGTGGTTCGGCAGGATTTGGTGTGTGTGATGTTTAATTAGTGTGTGAGTGTGTGTGTGCGCTTTAATCCTGTGCCTCTCCTGATGGAGCATTGCAGTAAATGTATTTAAATGTTTTGACTTTTATATGTAGATATATGTATATATGTGTGTGTGTATGTATGTGTATAATCCTCTTTCTCTCTCTCTGTCTTTTTGTGTGTGCGCGTGTGTGTGTGTGTGTGTGTGTAGTGTAGGGATTTTTTCAGGGTGGGAAGAGGAATCTATGAGGATCTGTGTCGCCGGCTGCCTCTCTACCCGTCTGACTTCACTGATGGTGTGTCGAGCATAAATGTACAAATCACACTGTTTTAGATGCAAACGCTGTAATGATGGAATTGTTCTGGAAATGTAGGGGGTTTTAAAGTTTTCAGAGGAGAATATATGCTTCTCTTGTGGTCTTAATAGCTTATTTTGTTCAATACTAGCTAGGACATTGTGTACAACTGCTGCATATCTAGCATTATTTTACACACATTTATTTACTGTATAGTAGGGGTAATGGTACACAATTGTTATTTATCTGTTTTGAAGTCAGTTTTTTGGTACAGCATTGCTTCAATGTGTATTTTTAATTTATAATTAAAGTTTTATTAAATAATTAATAAATAATTAACTTTATTAACCCTCTTAGGACCCATGACTAGCATCTCTCTTTTTTATAAAGAAAGGCCACTAAATACCCTATCATAAACCCGGCGCAATAAAGCGCAAGACGTGTTTGGCGCGATTTGTTGTTATTTTCAGTCCAGCGCAACTCTAATTTTCACGTTTTGCACTCAACACATTGTTAAATAGCAAAATTATTTGTGTCACTTTGTGGACTCCTTGGTGTGCAAGTTGGTATTTTGAAAAATCAGGTCTAAAATTCAGTGCAGACCGTGTTAGTTATGTGTCTATGCAGGTCCAAAATGCGTGCACATTGTTTAACACACACAGAATGTAGAGCAACACACAAATATATTTACATATAAAATAAATAAAGGATGAAATTGTTACAAAAATTATTATTTTTCTCATAAATATAAAAAAAACTCCATGCCTTCTTCATCTCAGGCGGCTTTTTCAGTTTGTTTATGAAACTTTCCATTTGTATAAAGTTATAATTATTAGCAGTATTATTTATTATATTCATATTTATATTTGTTTTAATAAAAAAGTTTAGATTTGTCCACCTGTCAGGTTTTGGAGATGTATGCGTCAGAGTAGGACGTGTGTTTGGATATAACTTTTTTTTTTTTTTGACCACACTTCATTATTATTGTTCATTTATTTGTTTGCTGGAAATTAGATCTAAATTTAGAAATAGTTTTGAAGCAAATCTTTGTGTAAATTAAATATGTGGGCTAATAGATGTCTTCAGTGGATTGCGTACAACACCGTTTGCTTATCCACGAAAATAAAAAGGAGTAAAGTAAAGAGTAAAAGTAAAGAGAAAAAGTAAAGAGGCAGAGTCTTTTTGTTCTTTATCCTCTCACTGTAGATTATTGCGTATTTTTCCATCCTTAAAAGCAAAAGTGTATTTGAACACTTAATGCTTTTGCACTATGTGCTTTAGACTTTGCGCCTAGATCTTTAAAATAGAGCCCTAAGAATACACTGTTGATTTTGGTCACACAAATAAGTGTTATACACAATTTGAATCAGTTAAGTTTCTACTTTTTTTGTGTATACTCACAATGTGTGCTTTTGCAAAATAAGGAAAATAAACAGTGTGCGCATACAAAAAACTTGAATGCCTATAATCTATTCCTTATTACTTGGCCAGTATTTTAGCATTAAAGGCTGCATGTAAATACATTGCTCATTGCACATTGATTAAATTGTCAATTATTTTTAGATGTAATAATCAGCACTTTGTAATTTAAGAAAATGAAATTGAATCAAACTAAATGAAATCAACATTGTAATTAAGTCAGTTTTTACATTTGTGTCTAAATCTTATTGTAATTGTGTTTCTTCTCTAATTTGTTGTTCAAATAATTTACACAGTGTTTTTCATTACTTGTTTTTAGATTTATTAACATATGTAGCTGTGGGAGAAAAGAAAGAAATAAAACCACAAACATTTGTTTCAATCAAAAATGATTTTTTTTCTATAAACTACTGATGACTATTATTACAACTTTAAAATCTAAATATTGCCATTTAGAGCCTTTTTATTTTGTTGCCATTTTCAGACTTTTTTGTTTAGTTTTAGACAACACAATATTTGTGTTTTAAGTTTTAACTTTAGAAGAGTTATGAAATCAATATTTATTGGAATAATATAGACAGAATTATTAGCCTCCCTGAATTATTAGTTTATTTTCCCCCCAATTTCTGTTTAATGAAAAGGAGATTGAGGAGATGAAGAGGAAAACACATTTCTAATCAGATTAGTTTTCATAACACATTTCTAATAACTGATTTATTTTATCTTTGCCATGATGACTAGTAAATAATTTTTTACTAGATATTTTTCAAGACACTTCTATACAGTTAAAGTGCAGTTTAAAGCCTTAACTAGGTTAATTAGGTTAACTAGGCAGGTTAGGGTAATTAGGCAAGTTATTGTATATTGATGGTTTGTTCTGTAGAATATCGGTGAAATATATAGCTTAAAGGGGCTAATAATTTTGACCTTGAAATATATATATATATATATATATATATATATATATAGCTGTAAATTAGATTATATAATTATAGATTCAATATATTTTAATTAATATGGTCATGACATGATGTATTTATGTTGTGCAAATGTTTTGTGAAAAGCACTTCTCTCAAGTTAATTTTTCTAGTGAACTAACAAACTGTTAGAGCACTAATGGAAAGTGAAGTAATGCTTGCTAAAATATGACATATGTGTTATGTGTATGACATAAATGTGTTTTTTTTCTTTTCTTTCAGGATTAGTGGGTAATAACAAAGCCCTGGTCAAGTTCATGACGACGTCCATTTTCCTCTACATCGCTGTGCTGCTTCCCGCCATTGCTTTTGGCTCACTGAATGATGAGAGCACTCGGGGAGAGATCGGTGATCACACTGTCTCACACACACACACACACACACACACACACACACACACACACACACTCCTCTCTCACACACACACATAGACTGAGCTGTTCTCTCTTTTGATTAGATGTTCAGAAGACGATCATCGGGCAGAGCATAGGAGGAATTATCTACTCGCTGTGCGCTGGCTCTCCTCTGGTCATTCCTCTAACCACAGCGCCCATCGCCATTTTCATCAGTGGTATGTACACATGTACACATACATTTATGCTGATAAAAGAATTGATATTTCATACTTTTCCACAGTATTGACAGCTGTCACCCCACAGTCCCACGTCAAAACAAGATACTCTCAGTCAGACCACCACAGTCTAGTCTGTCCCAAAACCTTTTTTAGAAGCTCCAACCGGTTTTCATTTATTTATTTATTTTCTTTTCAGCTTCGTCCCTTTATTAATCCTGGGTCGCCACAGTGGAATAAACTGCCAACTTTTCCAGCATATATTTTATGCAGCGGATGCCCTTCCAGCTGCAACCTAGTACTGGGAAACATCCACACATCCCATTCACACTCATACACTACATAAAATTTAGCTTACCCAATTTACCCATACCACATGTCTTTGGACTTGTTGAGGGAAACCGGAGCACCCAGGGGGAACCCACAAAAACACAGAGAGAACTTGCAAACTCCACACAGAAATGCCAACTGACCCAACCGAGGCTCAAACCAGCGACCTTCTTGCTGTAAAGCGATCGTGCTACCCACTGCACCACCTTGACGCCCCAACCGGTTTTATCACTTTAAATATCAATCAAGTGCAAAACCTGTTAGAGAAGTCAGTACTCTGATGTATTTTGTGCATCTCTTTCTCTCTTACTGTAAGTTCATGAACATGTTTTACACTTAAAAAGTCAACAAGCCATTCTAGTTGTTTGAAACTAAATGAAGTAATCAAATGAATTGGATGAGAACTTTTTGATTAAGCGAGATTTAAGCTGTTCATATGAACGACTCTCTCTGGTGAGTTACTGTGCGCCTCTATCAAAGTAGGTGGCAGTATGCACTTATAAGCTGGTTCGCATACCCACCAATAAAACCCCTCAAGAAGAAGTCACTGCGCATGCTTAGCTTAACAAGCTGAACTTTTGGATTTCCACAGTTGTGGTGTTTCACATATATGTGGAGAACTTATTGCAGAACGAAGTGCACTTGCAGTTCCTTTTGCATGTTGACGATTAAAAATGAGACATTGTGAGGATGTGAGACAATATAGCTATATTGGTTATTTGGTGAAATCCCAGCTAGCCAGCTGCAAGTTAAGAACTTCAATGCTGCCTGCACTCAAAAAAAAAATTGTTGAATGAACATGATTTAATCGTGTATTTAATCATGATTTAACCCTTTATACATCTAATCCAATCAAGTAAACCTGAACTGCTTTGAACATGTTGTATGAACACAAAGCACATTTGTAGATAAAACATGGTTTCAATATGTCAGTCTAACTTCTTTGCAACTAATTGACTCAAAATGTTTGTATTGTGTTATTCTAATTAAAATGATCCTAATTTACTCAATGTACCACTAAAGCTTTACTTTAACAAAATAATGTCTTGTTAAATCAGCTAGTAACTTTCTTGTTCAATATTGTTGTTTAAATTCATTCATTCATTTTCTTGTCGGGTTAGTCTCTTTAATAATCCGGGGTCGCCACAGCGGAATGAACCACCAACTTATCCAGCAAGTTTTTTACGCAGTGGATGCCCTTCCAGCCACAACCTATCTGGGAAATATTCACACACAAACACTCATACACTACGGACAATTTAGCTTACCCAATTCACCTGTACCACATGTCTTTGGACTGTGGCGGAAACCGGAGCACCCGGAGGAAACCCACGCGAAAGCATGGAGAACATACAAACTCCACACAGAAACGCCAACTGAGCCGAGGTTCGAACCAGCGACCCAGCGACCTTCTTGCTGTGAGGCGAACGTGCTACCCACTGTGCCACTGCCTCGCCCTGTTGTTTAAATGACATTTTTTAAATTACAATACTATGAAGCAAGATTTAAAATTAAGTAATTCAACACAAAAAGGACAGAAAACATGTTATATATATATATTATTATTATTATTATTATAGCCTTTAGCAGGCACCAATCACATTTAAACAAATTTCTTCTTTAATATTCTGATACAAAATGTTATATAATATTCAAAATTGTAATATGTAATATAAAATGTATAAGAAACATTTAGCCAACAAAATAACCTTGGCTCTTAAGAAAACTGATCCCCAAGCAATACCTGTAGGACGTTAACATCATTTTTTTTACCAATTGAGTTTAAACAGCTTTCTTCACTTTGGTACTCCTATTCAAAATGTAAAAGTATAAAATGTATAGGAAACATATAGCCAACAACATTACATGCATAACATTCAAGCTCTTGGGAAAACCAAATCCCAAACTGTGCCGAAAACACGCGGTGATACTTCTTGTTGTTTTCGTATGGTGACATCCAAACGCACTACCGCCACCTACTGATATGCGCGAAGTGACTCTCCAGAGTGAGAGTTGTCGATTTGAAGCGTCTCAGTCTCATTGAATCAACATGTTCTGATCAAAATCATTTGATTATTTCTTGATTCAGTTTCAAATAACATGAATTAATCATTTAAAGGGCCATAAAACCCTCTCGTTTCAGCAGGGTGTTTTCACACCTCTACTTTGGAAAAAGTCAGAAAAGTGGGCGTGTCCAGCTCTGTTTAGGGGGGAGTGTCGGAGGAACTAAAGTGGGATGGTGTGGGAGTGTCTATTTGGGCACGCGCGAGTTTCAGTCAAAATACACACACATGAGAAAGTGATGGTGTTTAACCTACATGGACATCTGTAGTCGAATTATTTGCCAAATTATTAAATGTTGGACTTTAATTGCAGTTTGGCTCTTTCATTCAGGGAATTCATTCATGCCCCTCGCGATAAACGCGATATTTGATTCGAGGATCTGCTCTAAGCGTGTATTTTTCATGCAATGTTTGATACCGCACGGCGAATGAGAGAAAAAAAAAACTCTGCATTTCCCGGAAACTTAAATACACACGGCAGGTAGCGTCAGAAAGCCGCGTGTGTTATTCCGGTCACAAAATGCGGTGCTATGTTTGCACTCAGTGCAATAGTTAACTTAATTCGATACGAACAAACTGAATAAACAAAGAGCAATGGTCGCTCACTTACCAAATCTGTAGAGACAGGACAATCACCAGCAACTAGAGCCGCGTCATTATGAAGAGAAGACTAACGTTACAAGCGAATCCGGATTTCAGCGTTTGCAGATGAGAACAGCTCTCAGGTAAACAATGTTCCTCCTTAGACACGTAAGTTATTGTTGTCGAGCGTCGCCTACACTGTTAATCCACACGTTATCCAGATGAGCTCTCACAGAGAGAAAATGAAAACGAAACTTAATGGCAGCAAACTTTAAAAGCAACACTTCACGCTTGTTTTGCCAACACAACGTGGCGTCTCTGTGGCGTAAACACGGTGACACTAATGAATATTAATGAAGTTGCACAATAGAGCGCGCTGATTGGTTTGAACCAAGCCTTACTCATGCATTAATGCATCACACTGTAAGACGTAATAAGACTCACTTTGGCACAGACGCCCAGTCTGCACGCTGGAAAACAGGCTATTATGTCATGACAGTGACGCAGCTTCAAAAATTCGTTTCAAACAGGAAGTACGAATTTGCTTGAAATAACGCAAAAACAACCAATTTACACTTTTTAGTGAAATACAGTATAAGTGTCCTAATAGTGTTTTTAGCAGTATACGACTGTCAACAGCTCAAAAAATGTGTTTTGGTGTTTCGTGACCCTTTAACATACGTAAACTTGATTTGTTCTTTTCAATCTGACAAATTTTTATTTTGTAAATCCAATACATGCCTAGTTGATTTTTTTGAGTGTACTACCTGTAAGACAAATCTAATTGAAGCAACAAAATATATTTTAATAACCATAGATGGACAAGACCGAAACTTGTTGATGTAACAAGGACGGATTTTGTTGAGTTTGAGTCAGTAAGTGCTTTACCGACATTGAGGGAATAAGAATAAATTCAGTAAAAATCAGATAAACACAACACAAACTTTTTAATTCAGTTAGCTGCAAAGAAGTTACACAAGCCAGTTAAAACCATGTTGAACTGACACATTTATATTCTGTTCATATAACACATTCAAAGCAGTTCAAGTTTATTTGATTTGTTTAGATGCACAATGGGTGCAACTATTAAATCATGTTGATTCAACACATGTTTTTTTAAAGTGTACTTCTGCCGATTTTCATGTCGATTTTTACTTGCTCTTAAAAAAATATTCTCTGGGCCTAACAAAAACTGTAAAACAGTTATATCTTAGCCAAGTATCTCAAATAACAAGATAAATATAGTTGTATTCAAACAGTTCCTATTCAACATATCTTCTCTTTGAAGGTTTATTATTACTGATTGTCATGAAATTTCTGAATAACAGTCTCTCCAGGTTGAATATCCCAGATCACCAGTTAACTATGCACAAATAGAGAGCATTAATTAAGAAAGGAATAAAAATTGTAATTTTAAACACTGCTCTGGTAATATTCCAGTGTGGTATTAAAAAAGCTATAGAGTATCAATATTTTTAAAGGTATATTCACACTGTGCATGGTTGTCTTGAACCATGCTCAGGCACGATTGTCCTTCCTCCCCTCTCGCCCTGCACTCACATTACATTTTTTGCTGCTTACATGATCGATGATGCGACTGTTTAGTTTAACAGAAGAGAAGTGCTCTCACTCTGTACAATTGAGATTGCTTTATTTATATCGTTTTGTATTATTTTAAGTCATTTGGAATGCAGTGATATGCAGTCATATCTTTTGCTAAACAATCCCTTTTTAAATCAAAACAAATCGTTTTTGACGCTCATAAAAATGCTCATGAAAGTCATCTTGCTGCACGTATTAATAGGTTTACTGAAGGTGCAGCTGACGTACAGCGAGGGGTTTGTATCTTTGATAAACTGTTAGAGTTTCCATTCACTAAAAAGTAAGAATGATTAATAAAACCATATGAAACAGTTCCTTAAAAGTGACGTTTTTAGCTCATTCAGATTACTTACACTTGTCAAATGAAAGGGGAAAGGGGGGTCAAATATGCCTGGACATGGTTCAAATAACCTAGTGTGAGTACACCCTAAGGTAGCATATTAAAGCCTATCAAAAATTCCAGTATCGTGACAACAAACATAAATGCATACCTTGACTCTCCCCCGTGGTCTGGTCTTAAACGTTATTTTTTGCGGTGTGTTTAGAAGAGCACTCACTGTTTGTTGAATACTTTGACTTTGAGTGTTTAGAGTGCTCTGCTAACCACAGGATGAGGAGGAACAAGACTCTTAATCTCACAAACAGCGGGATGGGAGTGCGATACGGCCGCCATTTGTTTGGGCAAAGTTTGATGTTTGCCCTGGCTGAGAGGAGATTTCCTCCGTAAGCTCATTCCTGCGGCTGCAATCGCACTCTGTCACCAGCGGGAGGGTTGCCCTGAAAAATGGATTTGCTGGTGGAAAATGAAATTCTGCTTGGGTAAAAAATGTGCAGATGAGGACAGAACCACATCATACATCCATGATAATGATCCTTCCCCAATCAGAGATCTGGTCTTGTGGGTTTCTCGTGGGAATAACAGCTGCATTTTTTTCTTTAAATGTTTGGGAGCAATTCTTTAAACATCAAACGGTCAGAGTTTACTGTGTGCTAAAATCCTGGGTCATTACAAGATGGGGTTGATTGGGTTATTTTTGCATACACTCCTAATGACTGCAGTGTTCTAATTCTTTTGTGTGTTTGTCTCTGTTTGGCCGCAGTGATCAGAGGGATCTGCGATGATTATGAGCTGGACTTTGCAGCGTTTTATGCCTGCATCGGCCTGTGGAACAGCCTCTTCCTCATCATGGGAGGAGTCTTCAACCTCAGCCTGCTTGTTAAGCTTTTCAAGAGGTCAGACGCACGTTTATTAATGCTTAGACATGCTAGAGCTGCTTGATTCATCGTTGGAAGGTTAATCCATTAATCATTTAAGATTTTAAATACTATTATTGCCTCCATGTCAACTGCAAGAATTATATTTTGTGAAAAGGTGACATCAAGCACATCCATTAAACATGTTCAGTTGATAAATAGATTAATCTTGAGTCAAACATCCATGCAAACCTTTGACAAATGTTGTCACAGCAATTCAGAGCTGGCACTTTTAGTTATGGAACAGTTTCACAAGGTCTTTTTAGCCACAAACATTCAGATTACATAAGTACTGGGAAAAAATATATATACTGTAGTTTGATTATATAATTATGCCACACTGTAAACAAAAAGAAATCTTAATTAACATTTTCCGTATTTTGTGATTTACAAGTATTCTCGTTTTTACGGTTGTGAATTGGATTATGGGACCTTGATCTCTGCTCTGTTGAAAATTCAGCTCCATAGCATACCTGCCAACCAGGACTGTCACAAGCTTAACTGTCACTCTAGGCCAGGGATGGGCAAACTTGATCCTCGAGGGCCAGTGTCCCTGCAGAGTTTTGTTCCAACACTAGTCAAACACACTTGAACAAACTAATCAGTGTCTTCAAGATCACTAGAAATCTAAAAGCAGGTGTGTTTAATTAGAGTAGGAGCTAAACTGTGCAGGACACCGGCCCTCCAGGACCGAGTTTACCCACCCCTGCTCTAGGCATACGATGAACGCGATGCTCTCACTGTGTTGACACCCACAAATTGCAAATTGTAGTTGGGCGGCGTTGGACGAAAGTAAATTGGGGAAGGGTTGTAATATAGCAAGGGGTGTCGCGGATGGAGGGCGGGGGGGGGGGGGTGTCTCCATGTCGCCCCTAGCAAGATGTCACCCTGGGCGATCGCTCATATTGCCCATGCCTAAATCTGCCACTGCTGCCAACACTCCCGAGAGTCTGCCTTGTTTCAGACCCATCGTCCACCACCCTTCCATTTTGTTATTTCTTTCAGAAAAGTCCCATAATTTCAGCCCTGCCCCTGGTCCTGAGGTTTTTGGCACAGTCTGTAACTCTCACGGGTTGTCAACTTTGGTATAGTATTCAACACGGCCCATAGTACACTTACCAACACTACAGTACAGTTACTAATCTGGTTCTCAACTGTGTTATTCAGACAAACCCACACCACCACCTCTCCCCCCAACCACCAGTCTCCTGGAATTTCGGAGACAAATGTTGGCAGGGATGCTCTACAGTTCAACAAAGTGACCCTTATTGACATTTTAGTAGTTTGAAATAATGTAATGTATTAAAAAATAATGTAGAGAGAAAACAGTCTGTAAAGTCACAGAAAATATTCTGGCAGTTTATTACAGGTTTTTGTTTCAAAATATTTTTGTAAAGCCAGTCCAGACAATATATTAGGGTTGTCTCGATCGGGGTTTTTTGCCCTCGAATCCGAGTCGGAGTCATTTGATTTTGAGTATCTACCGTTACTGAAACCCGATCCAATACTTAAAGAGCTTCTACTTTGCTCCTACTTTTAATGACACTTACATGTTATGATCTAGAGGAAGAAAAAATTGGTCTATTTGTAGAAGTTACTGACAAAGTCCCTGTCAAAGTCTGACAATGTCTCTGCTGCTCCTTCAATAGCAAATGGCCAGCGAATCCTGCTTTGCAGCATAGGTTATTGTATTAATCATCAGAAAAATGACAGGAACAAACACAGCACACGGTTGGCTATATTGTGGTATTGTGAAAATTAACTTTAACCATTTATTCCCTGCAGCTGAATCTCCATCTGTCAGTGATCGCTATATTTTTTACGTTATGACCAGTCCGTGATCCCTGTGTCTGAAGTGAAAGCACATTCACATTTTACCAGAACTAGAACTACATATTTGGTGATGTAGCGTGTCAACGTCGATGCGATCAAGCAAAAGATCCAAACCCAACTCGATTCATTGATTCGACTCTGAGTCAATTATTTTGCTAAAGAATCTATAGTTTTTAACACAGTGCACTTTCAGATTTTAAACCTAAGCTGGATGTTTTTATTCACTTTGTGCTGTGTTAGACACTTTTATGGAAGCTCATTTTCAAAAACCTATAATAGGGGCTCTTTAATACATAAGTAGAAACAGATCCAGGATGTTCCTTTTTTTATTTAATATACCTTATTTTAACATTCACCAATTCTGTTAAAAACAGAGCAGTCCTGTGAGGTAGCTTGAACAATCCAGTAATAAATAACATAAATTCTTCACTTTCGGACTTGCAACAGTAAATATAAAAAACAAAAAAACAAATAGTACCTCAGCTTAAAACACCCGGCAGGCAATCCCAAGTTTACCTGTCTCACAGTTTGCTGTGGCAATGTTGTCGTCATCAACGTCATCAACTTTATAATACCTCCAGACCCCAGACATACTTTCTACTTCAAGCTGCTTCCGTGTTCTACTTTACCGGCATTTAACCAATCGCATCTCTGCAACAAAGCAATGTCCTGCCACACACACGTTGCTGTTTTGTGTGAAGTCAAGAAAGAGGTTTAACCCTGTGCCACCGCATAACTATTGATGTGTTAAAAAAGAATGAGAATATATTTATTGGATCAAATCCCTACAATATATCACTTTTTAATGAAAGTAACATTTTCGGATTTTTCAAGGTTAAAAGTTGTTGAAAGAACCATAGTTTGGGAGTCTGAAGAATTTTTTTTAAAACCTGGTACTGGATAAATCTGAAAATGTCACCCTGCTGCTTTTGTGTGAACACCAAATCAGCATATTTTGTAAAACGATGATGTCATCATCCCATGTCTTGACACCGCTATCACATAACATCAACTACATGTTGGTTTGAATACAGCTTGCAATATTTATGAATTATGTTTATTTATTTGTGTATCTCTGTTGGAGAATTGACCCTTTGCTAAGCCACACCCAAAAACAGCCACCCACCAATCATGGCTAAGCAACTGTAGCTACGCGCAGGGGCTCTGTCAAACTTTCGAGCAAGTGCATATGGATTGTGCAAATCCGATACCCGGTATCCTGAAAGTTTGAACAGGATGGTGGAATTTTTTTTTCTTTTCAAAACGAAAAACCCAAGAGGCAATAACTCACACACCTCTACAAAAACACAAAGCAGGTTATGTTCACAGCTGTCTTTTTTTTTTTTCGCTCGATATTATGAGCACTGCTCCGTTTAAGCCTTCGCCATCGTAACTTTGTCATATTATTAGCGAATAGGTCATAATAACATGAGTTAGCGATCCGGCTTTGTCTGGCTTTCTCGGATATCTCACCTGTTAGCCAAAAATGACATTATATCCCTGGCAATGTCTGACAATGGTGCATACAAATTGTAAAAGACGTGCCAGGCACGAAAGCTTGACAGGCATAGCAACAGTAAATAAGGAGAGCGGGGCTTAACGAAGGGGCAATGAAGCACCCCATACTGATCTGGCATGCATACTACTGTACATAGTTTTTACTCGCTTTTAGTGGTTTCATGTGTACATAGATATCTTTTTAGATAGGGAAAAAATTGATTAGACAGGAAAAGCTCTGTCTTTATGTGAATGTAGCCTCAGGATCTTGGAAGAACAGTGATCTGTATTTAAAATGAATAAATAGATAAAAAAAAAAAAAATTTTAACAAAAAAATAAGTTTGGCCTAAAATTAAACAAAAGTAAGGTGGCTAACAGAGCTTAATGTGCTGCAATTTAAGAAAACACACGCAATTAAAAAAATGACAGCAAATTAAAAAAAGATCTTCATTCGTTTGACACCACACATGCTGCAAATCCTTACAACTCAATTACATTTTAAAAAACCAGGAGTATTTTCTCACAAAGCAAACAAATGAAGAAAACACGCTGCATTTTCTCACAACAGTTTTTCACAGCACGGAACACAATGGAAATGTTTCAAGGTGACCCAAAAAATGTGACGGACTTGGCTATTTAGGTTATGATTATTTTGGCTAATAAAATTCAAAAGACAAGGGAATGAGAATGTTAAAATAAACAAACAAAAACCCACCTTTCAAAGATCACCTACAACATCACACTTTTGGGTCTCCTTAAAACATTTCCATTGTGTTCCTTTGTTTTTGCAAGTGTTGTGAGAATGCAGCACCTTTTCATAAATTGTTTGTGCTGTGAGAAAATGCAGAAACATGTTTTTGTAAAAACTGTGATGTTGATGTAAAGTACTTGACAACTAAACAACAGTGGACTACAGGAGTACAGTAAATGTGTGTTTCAATACCTGAAAATGATCTTTTTTTGTGGATTTTGTGTTGTTTGTGGATGCATTTGAACAATGTTGTCATCTATACACAAAACATTTTTAAAAATGCAAAGAAAAAAAGTCTTCCAGTTTTTAGTAGTTGTGGCTCAAATACATTTTATGCAGAATCGTGCAGCTCTAATACTTTCTCATGCTGATGTCACCGCTTGACAGCTGAAATGTTTTTGATGTTGATGTTTTTGTTCCGTAGGTCGATAGAGGAGGTGATAGCTCTGTTCATTTCCATTGCTTTTGTAGCAGACGCAGTTAAGGGCACTGTCAAGAGTGAGTGTTGCACACACACGCACACACACACACACACACACACAGCAAACACAAACAACAGGTTCATTTGAATTGCTGTGCGAATGATTTTGATCTTTTTAAGAAATAATGGGGTAACTAGTTGTGACGATGGAAAAATATATTTACCATTTTCATCATTACTGCTCAGGAAAAATAAAGCAGTTGATTTAACACATGACACTGTTTAGTGATAATGGAGACATGCTGTGTTTTATTAGTTGTCAGAAAAGCAACCTGCAGTTTCTTAACATCAAAATGCCATAACTTGATCTTCTGATGAAATCTCATACTTCAGTCATTCAGTCAATTTGACTATCTGCCTCAATCCAGTCAGTAGCTAATTGATAGAAAAAGTCCTCACTATACATTTTTGATCTGTTTTGCTCTGATTTGCTTCCTAATGCTATTCCTTGCTAATTCTGTTACAATGCAAACAAAGATATTTAATAGCAGTTTAAAACAATGAAAAACTTAACCAATTAATATAGTCATGTACTGTAAAATACATCAGGTGATAATGTTTACTGTATTGTTTTATATAGTACTGTAGACAATTATTATTAGCCTCTTTCACACAGTAAATATTGAGAACATTTCTAGAACACTTTACAGGTAAATTTAGAACAGCGCTGTTCACAAAGGCAAGGACGTTCGGGAAATTTTCCGGAAAAGACCATTCACACATCCATTCCAAAATACCAGTAAATTCTGATATCATTAACCAGAAATGGCCTCTAAACGGCAGTACTTGTATTTGTAAACATAGAAGGGGTTTGGGGTTTGTTAATGGGTTCACTTTTATTAAACGCTTTAGCATTCATGCTGCTGATTTTGTCCCAGAGCCATCCAAGGTCAGAAGTGATAACCGCGGCATAATGTTTATACGTTTGACTACATTACAAATTCTGTGAATGGATAAGTATTGTGAACAACTTCGATGTAAACATGTGGAGGAACACTTTCGTATGTCGAGATGTACATTTGTTTGTGTGCTAGCACTCACCAGAGCACTCCTTCACATGCACGAGTGCCACGCAGCAAAACGTGTGGCTAGCAGGTAAGCTCACAGTGGTTTATCATAAGCATTTTATCGATAATTTTTTACACAATTGGCATTAATGATGAATATAGAAACGTTATCAGCCTAACAATTAGCAGATAATTGTGTCTGGGAAAATATTCAAAGGCTTTTATTTTTATAAACAGCACAGATGTGAATGCGTCTGAATGTTCTTATTGGCTGGAGTAGACGTCACATGTCTTTAAAAGAAGAGCATTCATTTTGTAACACTATTTAAATTTTTTGAAAATACATTTAAAGTTTAAATATACTTTTTTTATAGCCAAATCTTTGAAAGATAAACCTCACAAACATTGGGTTTTAAAAAGTAGATTCTTGTAATCTTTGTTGGACAACTACAACTTCCCTTATATAGAAAACACACACAGAGACACACACACAAGCATTTTGCAGTGCCATGTCTTTATTGAACAAATGTGTTAAACAATCAAGATAACCTCTACTATAATGACCTCTTGAAAAAAAGGTAATTGGACTCAGCTGTGAGTTTGACCTGCCATCCTGAATCGAAAGCTGCATGTTACTTTTTTCTCGCCAAACAGTTGTGCTCAAAAGCAATCCAGTCTGATCAAAAGGGACTCAAGGAAACCTCAGAAGAACAACTCATAAAACTCAATGTTTGCAAGAGACTTTGGGAGATTTATGCCTACAGTCGTGAGGATTACGGCACCATCAGTTCAGCACCATTGCTGCGTTTCCTAGTAAATGAACGCTGTCTGACGTGTGTTGAGAGACAGCTTTAATAAATGGGAAATAAGGGTCACTATCCTGTAAAACAAACAAACAAACAAGCAAACATGCATTTCATAAAGAGTCCCCAAGAGAGCGAACAGGAACTTTAAAGAAGTCACACAGCAAAATTTTACCCTCTTAATTAGTTTTTTTTTTGTCTTGATTTCTAGTACAAATATTAATACATTAATAAATCAAGTACATTTACTTGAGAAGTAGAATATTTATTTTACTTACAGTCAAGCCAGTGATGTACGCAACTTTAATAGATTATTAAAGAAGATTGTTTTTTATGTAATGTGGTTCATAAATGCAAGTGAATAGCTATTATTTACTGAACATTACTTATTTTGTTATTTAATTCAAAGTCTTGGCAAACTATCCTGAGTACATGTATTACGGTGTTAAGAGTGCAAAATGTCTTAAGAATTACACATTTAAAAAAAAGAAAAAGTATTTTTGTTCTAATGAAGAAAAAATATTCTCTACATCTTTCATGATCTGAGGATATGACAGCAAATTTTCATTTTTTTGACTATTAACTCTTAAAATCTACTATTAAATGCCTCAAAATTTAGTGAGTCTAAGCCTTAAAAAGCTGTCAGTATTTTAAAGTTAAAACTTTATTTTTTTCATTCAAAAGATCATAATATTTGCAGTATTTATACTTGAAATAATGAATTGGTATGGAATCTGTATCCAGTTTCAATCAATTTCAGTATGTTGTTTACGGAATTTGTCATTCACACATTTGATTGGTGGTTTAGAAGTACAATCTATGGAATGCCGTTGGGGCCAAAAGTGTTTGAAACAATAACATTTGAATTCGACTTTGTCAACAAGTTCAGTGTCGGTGTTCTGTGTCAGTGAGTGTGTCAGTAGCTGTTTTCATTGCATAATTATCATAATTTCAATTGCATAATTACAAATATTATGCTATGCATCAATCAGAGCAACATTCAATGAAACTGATTAATTTGATACTATATTAGCATTTGTAATGTAGTAGTTTATTGGAATATTCAAATATAAGTAACACATATGATATATATTGTAATATAAAGCATATTGTAATCAGCTTGTAATAACTTTACAATTTCCTATTCCAAGCTTTTACTTATTTGAACTGAGAAAAATCTTTCAAAATAGCATATATGACCACTGTTTTGGTCATATCACACATTAAAGAGCATCTTTTTTCAAAGTTATGGTGTTCACTACAGTCTCTGGATTTGATGCATCCCAGACACCAATATTTTATAAGGGTTTATAAAAGGTGAATCACTTTTATAAATCTTAGATTAGGGACGTGTATATTAATACCATTTAATGTTCACTCATGGCATATGATCTCAGCGTGTGGGATCCTGGCATGTACATATGCAAACATCAGACATCCAAATTACCGGTCTGCATTCCCACGGCTGTCCCGCTTTTGGTGCTGTGTGTGTGTGTGTGTGTGTGTGTGTGTGTGTGTATGTGTGCGCACGCGCAAATGAGAGATGTGTGTGTGTGTGCGCGCGCGAATGAGAGAGAGAGCTTTGCCTGTGTGTGTGCTTGGTGCTATGTGTGTGTGTGTGTTAGTGCGCGCGTGCGAATGAGAGAGAAAGAGCTTTGCCTGTGTGTGTGCTTGGTGCTTATGTGTGTGTGTTAGTGCGCGCGCGTGCGCGCGCGAATAAGAGAGAAAGAGCTTTGTCTGTGTGTGTGTGCTTGGTGCTGTGTGTGTGTCTGTTTATACAGACAGCTTGTTATAGCCTGTCTGGACTGTATAGCTAGGTGATTTTCGGTTTTGTTCCCCCCCTGCTCTTTAGCGGGATCGGGCGCGTCGTGTAGAAAACGGGGCGGGTCGGGCAGCGGGACAACAAGTGCTTAATATAAGCGGGAGGAGTCGGGTTCGGGCTAAAACCTGGCGGGTGCAGGCGGGAGCGGGATTCAAAATTTAGTCCCGCGCAGATCTCTAATCCAAATTCAAAAATTTTTGTCCCAATTTTTGTTCCAATGAATCACTGAAATTTCAGGACTTTTGTCGTTGATAGCCTTCCATAGTAATCAGACATGGAGAATGACTAAAGTTTGAGGACATTTGTCTGTAATGACTTTCCATAATAATAATACATTTAAAACTACTAAAGTGTGTAAGCTTTTTTCCCTGGTGGCCTTTCATATTAATAATCAGACATTAAAGACTGACATATATTTCTCTGTGAAATGTGTGCAGCAGGTCTAACGTAGCCTTCAGTCACATACCCTTCATAACCTGATGCAAACTTTGAAAGAATGTGCACCTCTCAAAAAATTTAACTTGTGATTGGTCAGCTTGGTAGTGGTTAGAAGTGTGGCCGATCGCTTGACGCAGAAGTATAATACAGATAAACAGCCCAGAAAAAAATACTTGCTGAAGCATTATTATCTCTTTGTGCGTTTGTTTTTAATATACCTTAAGAAAATGTAAAAAATGCAAAACTTCCCATACCATCGCCAAAACCTCATTGCGACTGTGATGGATTGTGGGATGAATGCAATGATTATGGGGCTGTTTTGCTGCCTCAGGGTCTGGGCGGCTTGGAGACACTGAGGGACCAACGAGTTCCAAGTTGTATCAGGAGCAGAATGTCAGAGCGTCTGTTTGTGATCTGAAACTCAAAAGAGGTTGGGTCATTCAGCATGACAATGATCTAAAACACAGGAGTAAATCAACAACAGAGCGCAGAAACAAAAGAAAATCTGCACTTCACAATGGCCAAATTAGAGTCCTGACCCCACTTCCTTTGAAATGCACTGCTGTGATGCAAAACAGGCCGTTGGAGAAAGACATCCCAAACATGCGCATGAACCGAAACAATGCGTGTGTGTTATCAGCATCGGTTGATCTTATTGGCAGTCAACAAGATTCCACAAAAATTCCATCAATAATTGTGACTGTTTAAACCAATTATTCAATAAAGATGTGGCACAAGAAAAAATTTTTTCGCTTTGGAAAGCATTTATGCTGACAAATTCAAAACGTTTACACTACATACACCAAACAGGACATTACAGTGACTTATTTTAGGCAGAATCTTATCTTTAAAACAATTTTTTTTTTAATAATTTGAAACTTGGTAATATTATCATTTTAATAATTCAATTGAATAATATGCTCTCACCGGCCACTTTATTAGGTACA